GCAGTGCTCAGGCTCCTCTGGGTCCTCTGGTAAGTGCCCCTCACCCAGCAGTGCCCAGGCTCCTCTGGGTCCTCCAGTGAGTGCCCCTCACCCAGCAGTGCCCAGAGTCCTCTGGGTCCTGAGGGTGAGCGCCCCTCGCCCAGCAGTGCCCAGGGTCCTCTGGGCCTTATGCCACCTGGCTCACGTAACAAGCTGTGAGGGTGGCTGTGGTTCCCCGTCTGCCTCGGGACAGTGTCCAGGGGCACTGCTGAGGAACCGTGGAGAACTCTGGGCCTCCCTCTTTCCGACTCCCTGGCCTGGCCTTTCCTTCCACCATTCGCCAGGCTTCTCACCATGCCTGAAACCACAAAGGCAGTCCTCAGTGGATCTCGGGGATCTGTTTTCACCAGAGAAGGAACCCTCTGGGAACTGTGGACCAGGCGCCATTCCCACCTGGACAGGACCCTGTGAAATGTAGCGGGGGACAACTTCCCGCCATCATGGAAGACATCCTCAGACAGTAAAAAAAGCACCACCATGCCACCATCACTGAGGTGAGACTTTGGGCTCAGGGATCCTCTCCATAAGGTGCCAGGACTCAGAGTCCTCTGGGCGAGCGCCCCTCTCCTACCAGTGCTCAGTCTCCGTGGGTCCTGTGGGTGCCCACCCTCAGCTCCCTGTGCTCAGACTTCTCTGGGTCCTCTGGGCGAGCTCTCCTCTCCCACCAGTGCTGAGACTCCCGGCCTGGACCTTGAGGTTGAGTGCCCCTCGCCCATCAGCACTCAGGCCCCTGGTTTCTGTGGGGAGTGCTCTTCCCTCACCATGCAGACTCCTCTGGGTGCTGTGAGGGAGTGCCCTGCACCCAGCGGTGGGATCCCACACTGGCCAGGCACATTCTGGACATGCACATTGTGGGTAGAACAGAGATTTGGTGGTACAGCTGGGCGAGACCCTGAGCTTCCCGCCCTGGCACACAGATCTCCTGGCTACGCCATGAGCCTCTAACCAGAGCTCAGTGCTGAAGCCACTTGCTCACGGTCACGCAGCTGGCGAGAAGGGTCTAGCACTCAATCACGAGGCCACAGCCCAGTCTGTTTTCACAAAAGCCTCTGAGCACTTGAGGCCCTCTGGGCTGTAATGCTCAGAAGCATCCAGAAAATGAACAGAAACTGCCAAGGTGAGTTGGTCTCTGAAGTCTCCCCTACTGTGTGCCAACACGTCCACAGTGCCTCTCACCGTCAGGTCCTCAGGATGCAATGGGAATGACTGACTGGCCTCCTCCTTCAGAAAACTCCCTCCAGTGTGAACACGGAGGACAGAGGCTTGCCAGGCTGACTGGCAGCAGAGGCCCATTTGTAGGACTGGGCCCTGCCAGGGTCATGTCTGAATGGTGTGCATTGCTTCAGGCAAGAAAGAGCCCAGCCACACAGAAGTGGGGGCAGACTGCGCCAGAGGCAGAGATTCACTCCAGGGAGAGGGTCCAGGAGAGTCATGTGGAGAAATGGAGTGGGAGGACTCCAGAGAGGAGGAGGGACCAGCACAGGAGCCCTCGGGGAGGCATCCAGAGGTAACCCCAGGCAGAACCCCAGACAGAGGGGAGAAAGCAAGGCAGAGTGGCTGGGAGCCCCCTGGGCCTGAGCCCTGCCTGCTCCATCCACAGGAACAGGGCGACTAGTCTGGGCTCACGTCCTAGGTGCATGGGACCTGAGAAGGATCGAGGGCCACTGACTCACCTGCTAAAGTCAGGGAGGTTTAGGACATTTGGGAGGAAAGGAAAAGGGAAAGGCATGGTTTTCAGTGTGTGTGTGACCGCACTGGGACACCAGGGAGGGAACGAAATTGTGTAGCAAGCAGCTGGGAACGTGGTGCTGTGTTTCCACCCCAGACCCACAATATGGCAGGAAGAAACACAACTTCCTTCTACTCCTTCCTTTCTGCCTCCACCCACCCCATCAGCACTGTGCTGGGTACAGAAGTGACACCACACATGTGGGCTTTCTCACTTGGGCCCTCCTGGGAAGGGAAGAGTTCTGAGCACAGAGCAGGCTGGCTCTGGCTGCCATCACTGCCTCCTGCCCTAGGGACACGCAGGGGCTGTGCAGTTGTCTCATACTAGACAAAGGTGCCAAAAACTTACATTGGAGAAAAGAGCCTTTTCAACAAATGGTGCTGGGAAAACTGGAAAATTCATGTGGAACAAAATAAAATTAAGCCCCTATCTCTCACCATGCACAAAATTCAACTCAGAGTGGTTCAAGGACCTAGGAATTAGACCAGAGACCCTGTGACTAACAGAAGAAAAAGTAGGCCCTAATCTTCATCATGTAGAATTAGGCCCTGACTTCCTTAACAAAACTTCTAAAGCACAGGAAATAAAATCGAGAATCAATAAATGGGATGGATTCAAACTGAAAACCTTCTTCTCAGGAAAAAAAACACAAAACCAGTGAGGTGAATAGAGAGCCTACAGAATGGGAACAAATTTTTACCACATGCATATCAGATAAAGCACTAATCTCGAAGATCTATAAAGAACACAAAAAAACTTAACACCCCCCAAAACAAATAACCCAGTCAATAAATGGGCTAAGGAACTGAATAGACACTTCTCAGAAAAAAATATTCAACATCTCTAGCAATTAGAGAAATGCAAATCAAAACTACTCTAAGATTTCATCTCACTCCAGTCAGAATAACAGTTATTAAGAATACAAGTAACAATAAGTGTTGGCAAGGATATGGGGAAAAAGGCACATTCTTACATTGCTGGTAGGGAGACCTCAGGAATGCCTTGATGAACACCCAAGGGCTGCAAATTGGTGCAACCATTATCTGGAAAGCAGTATGGAGATTCCTTAGAAAACTTGGAATGGAACCACCATTTGACCCAGCTATCCCACTTATCAGTTTATACCCAAAGGACTTAAAAACAGCATGATACAATGATGCAGCCACATCAATGTTTACAGCAGCACAATTCACAATAGCGAAATTGTGGAACCAACCTAGATGCCCTTCAATAGATGAATGGATAAAGAAACTGTGGTTTATATATATACAATGAATATTATATACAATGGAATATTGTGGTTTATATATACACAATGAAATATTACTCAACATTAAAAGAGAATAAAATCATGGCATTTTCAGGTAAAATGGACAAAACTTTTTCCCCCCAGAAAACCAAAGGCCAAATGTTTTCTCTGAAAAGTGGATGCTGATCCATAAGGGGGTGGTGGTGGGGAGCATGAGAGGAATGGAGGAACTTTGGATAGGGCAAAGGGGAGGGAGGGGGAAGAGAAGGGGCCTGGGGGTAGGAAAGATGGTGGAATGAGAAGGACACCATTACCCTAGGTACATGTATAAAGACACAAATGGTGTGACTCTACTTTGTGTACAACCCAAGAAATGAAAATTGTGCACCATTTGTGTACTATGAATTGAAATGCATTCTGCTGTCATGTATAACAAATTAGAAAATAAATAAATTTTAAAAATAAAGGACAACTATCACATGCTTCTGTTTAGACGACATACCTAGAATAACCTGGGCATTTAGAAAGACAGAAGTAAGTTAGAGGATGTCAGGTGCTGGCAAGAGAGAAAGGAAAGGGATGCTTAATTGGTCTGGGATTTCTGTTTGGGAAAATGAGAATGTTCCAGAAGTGAAAAAAGCTGCTCGAACACTGAGTGTGCTTAATGACGAGGAACTGTGCACTTGACAAAGGTAAAGGTGGCAGATTTCATGTTATACCTATCTTATCACAATAGCAAAAAACAAACGTACCCAGGAACCAGGGCTGGGAGCTCAGCGGCCAGTCCCGCTGGCCTGTGCTGGCCTGCCACACCCACCCGTCTTTGCTTGGCTTCCTCCTCCATGTTGCAGCTCCCGTCTCTGGAGTTCTGGTCCCTGAGACAGAGGCCCTGCCTAGGAGCCCTGAGCCCCTGGCACTCAGCTGTCATCGGGGGTATAGGCTGACAGTGGGCAGAACTCCCGCATGCCACTGCCTGCAGCCACTGTTTGGGTTACATGGATCTCAAGTGGCCAGTCATGTCAGTCCCCACACTCCACCCACATGGCCAATAGAACCCACTGCCTGAACACCTTAGTGGGCATGCATCTGCCACAGCCACCCTTTACTGACACATTGCATGCCCCTCCTCTGCCCCAGGGGATCTTCTGGGGCTAGGTGAATCCCTCCCACCTTCGTGGCTGACTAACTCAGACAGACTTCTGAGGAAAGAGAGGCAGAAATAATGGAAGCTCCAGATGTCCCATTTCTGCAATCTCATTTGTGTGCAAATATTGTTTGACCATTCCAGAAAAAGGCTAGACTCTAGTGCCCTTGACTGACCTCTCCAAATGGCCAAAGGACATCTGATGCATTTCTAATCTCCGGCCCAGCAACCTGACCCACTCCCGCTCCTCAGCATCTCCCTGAGGCTGGGGCTGTGTCCTGGGGGAAATTCTCATTATCCTGGGCCTGAAGCATCACTCTTCTAAATTCACATCAGCTGATGGAGCAGAAGTACCAGGTGCATGTTGAGGAAGCCCTGAAAACCATCAACCCAGGAGGCCTGCCTGTGGACGGGACTCCTCAGCAGCAGGGAGGGCGTGAACACCTGGCCAGGAGGAGGAAGGAAGTTCAAGTGGATTAAAAACATGACCTAGGGCTGAGATTGTAGCTCAGGGGTGGAGCACTTGCCTAACATGTGTGAAGCACTGGATTTGATCCTCAGCATCACATAAAAATAAATAAAGGTACTGTGTCCTTCTACAACTAAAATATATATATTTTAAAAACATGACCTATATTTCACTGCAAGTTAGCCTGCTGTTCACTTGAGCGGTTGGGAAATCCTAGTACCCTCCTAAGCCAGGTTTTGCCAGTGGCGTCACAGAAACTTCCACCCCACCAAGGCTGGACAGCTGAGATGCCTGGCCACATAGTTCTTGGCCTTCCCATCCCTTACAGGGTCCCTGGATGGCTGCAGGGTGGGTGACATGAGGAGCTTACCAGCCTCACCAACGAAGACTTCCACAGGTGTGCTGGCCGGGCTCTCACCAATGATGTTGTAGGCGGTCATGATGACTTCATAGCGCCTGTACTTCTTTAAATCTACAAGGGGAGAGGATACGGGGTCAGCCTGTGGCAGCAGCATCCTCCATTCCTAGAAAGCTCCATTTGTGGACCACACTAAAGAACAGAACTCGAAGGAGAGGCAGGAGAAGTCTGTAATATGCCTATAACCCTAGGATCACATCCCCATCCTCCTGGCTGTCAATCAAGGACCACCAAAGGGAAGGGAAGCAGGAAGAGTTCTCCTGCCCTGTGCTCAGGTGAAGGCCGCATGAGGTGCCCTTCCACAGTGAAGGGGTAGAGGCTAACCAGGCCCTGGCCTGCCTTTGCATCTAGCATCTCTCCTGAAAAGTACCAAGAGGTGGAGGGAGATGTCAGTATTTAAAGGAAAACATTAAAAAGACAGGAGAAAATCTGAGCCCCTTGAGTTGTCAGTGACTCCATCAGGGCTGGACTTCCGAGGTGCCTGGGGAGGATGGGAAGGCCTCCAATCGTGTGGCCAGGCACCTCAGATGTCCAGCCCTGCTGGACCCTGCATGCAGAATCACACAGGCAGACAGCTAAGCACAGATTGCACACTGACAGCAAGAGTGACTGACCTTGAAATCAAAACATTCTGGAAAGTTCTCCCACTGGCAGTACTGCCTTGTAGCTGGCTCAGCTGTGCTAAGGCCCTGAGTGCCATGTCTGGGTGAACAGTGCCGCCTTCAGTGGTGCCCTCCCTGGTAAATGAGACCACCCAGGCTCCCCACCATTGCTCTGGGGAACATGTGTGTGGTCTGCCCTGATGGCTGAGAAGGGGCCCACCTCTCTGCCTCAGCCCAGCTAGAACAGGAACAGCCCTGAGGAAGGCTGCCCGCACCCAGCAGCCTGGCTTGCTAGTCCCAGCCTGGGACCCTTGTGGCTGAAGAGTCCACTGAGACCTGCAGCACAGGGATGACAACCTGGAGCAATGTCCTGCTTGGGACCCTCCCGACCTGAACTTGATTTTCCTTTTTTTTTGGCGGGGGGAGGTGCTGGGGATGGAACCCAGGGCCTTGTGCATGCAAGGCAAGCCTGACCTGAACCTGGTCTGTGTCCTAGCTGAGGACACTTTTGGGAGGGCACCAGGTCCTAGTGGTCACTCAGCAATGTGTACTTGGGAGTGATGAACATGGGGGTGAGTGGAGTGGGGTGGAGTGGGGGAAGGGGAGCAAAGGACTCACTGCTTTGGGGAGCAGCATGGAGCAGAGGGAGGGGGAGCATGTGTGGGTAAATCATGCTCCACAGCCTTCCTGCAGTGCCTCCTGGGGGAGGGGCTCAGGAAGGCCTAGGCCCTCCCCTCCTCTTCCTTCCACCCACTTTCTAATCTGTCCAAATTCTCTACATCAAAGCAAGTCACATTATGGGATGTCCCATGAGCCCAGCACTTGGATCCTGAAACCCATCCTTAGTTGAAATCAAAGGGGAAGCAGGATGGGTTGGCTTAAGTCAAGGGAGAAACACAATGTGGGCTATACATCCAATGGAAGGTTATTCAGCCACAGAAAGAAGGGCATTCTGACCCCTGCTGCAACATGTATGAACCTTGGACGCATCCTGCTCAGAGAGGTGGGCCAGTCACAAAAGGCCACACACTGTATGATCCTGTTTCTGTTCAGTTCCTGGAGTCTTTAGTCTCATGGAGACGGAAAGACAGCATGGTGATGCTAGGGCTGGGGAGGGATTGGGGCGCTAGTGTTTAGTGGGTGCAGAGCTTCAGTTCTGGGCAAGATGAAAAAGTTGTGGGCATGGATGGCAGTAAGTGGACCACCATCTCAAAAATGGTTAAGGCGGTAAACTTCATGTTATGTATATTTTGCCACAATTTAAAAAGAAAGAGTGAAGGAAGTCAAAGAGGAGGCCCTGCTGGGTCTGACTTTCCTTTCTGTCCCAGACTGGGAGATTGGATGCCAGGACTGCAAACCCCTCTACCTTCTGCTTCTAGAAGTTTCCTTTCCTGTCTCCTGATGGTTTTGGCATGTTGAGAAGCAGCATTTGAGAGGCAGAACTCCAGAAATTAGAGCCATTAATCGAAGCTGGTTTCACTTGATCTACTGAGAAGCCAACTGGCATACTACAATGAGCTGCCTCGTCACAGCAGCCCCTGCGGAAGGCGGTGTGGACTTACGTGTTAATTCATACGTGGTTAACGTGGAGCTGCTGTTCACGGTCTTGAAGCTGCTTTGGGCTATTAGAAGTAAGCAAAGCAGAAAGGCAGTTAGCACGCAGGGAAACCGTTACTGCAAATGACACACAGCAGAAATGCGGGTATGGAGCGGCCTCACTTGGAAGCCGTTCCAGCTCCCATGCTGTACCTCCAGGGGTGAAAAGATCCGAGCCAGCCACCCACATGCCTCCCTTTAGCTCCCAGGGGGCTTACTGCACTGCTTCATAAAAAAGCAAGACACCTCAGGGTGGGGTGGGCTCACCTTCCCATAGCACAGAACAAACAGTGTTTGGCAAGCCATCGCACCAGGCAACGCCGAGAGAGAGGGACAGAGTTTCTTCTGGGCACCGGAAGGTTGAGCTGTCAGCTGACTGAGGCTCCCCTGTGGAGCCCTGGTCTGAGGGGATGGGCAAACCACAGAACAAAGGGCACCTGGGACCAGGTGTACGCACCCAGCTTCATCTCAGGGTCCTTCTATTTTGAGGTGTTTTGATTTGGCTACAAAGCCCAAAGAGTGACAAGGACCAACACAGCTCACTGCTGACTGATCATCAACAAGGGAACCTTCGGGGTGTGCAAGGGTGTGGAGGACAGCTGAGCCATCTCCTCTAGTCAACACCCCTCAGCACCACGCCAGGGGTTGGCAGGGTCCAGCATGTGCACACTGGTGCTGCTCCTCAGAGAGGCCTGGGGAAGGAACTGGATGGAGAGGGAGCCCCCACCTGCCTCTGGGCAAGCATGCCCAGACAGCACCCCCATGCCATGGGCAGAAGAAGCAGGAAGGTGCCAGCAGGAGGTGGTGGGGACCTGCTCTCCCACCCCGTTCCCAGCACCAGTGTGTCACGGGCAAGGAATATTTTCTGTGACGCTGTTTGGGGGATGCCAGGAAATGAAAGCTCTCTACCCACCTTCTGAATAAGGGGAGGTAGCAGAGGAGCTTTCACCTAGAGGAGCTCCGCTGTCCTGCCAGATCTTAAGAGTCCCTTGTGCAGGTCCAGGGCCAGAGGGAGGCCTCCCATAGTTCCAGAGGCTGCCTTGGTGGCAGCTGGACTACTGAGAGCCATGCCAGGTTGTGGCATGGTGCAGGCCTGGCACAGACCTGCCCAGAGACGAGAGTGCTGACCTGCACACTGTGAGGACAGGTGGAGCCTGCTCTTGGGCTTGGCTGTGGCCACAGGACTGGTCCCCCTCTGTCTCCAGCCCCGGGCCATTCCTCAGGCAGGCCTGGTTCTCCTCCCTCTGCCATGGCACTTTACGCTCTCCAGCCTCCCAGATGTGCGGGTCCAGTCACACCCACTCCAAGTGCAAAACTCCCCAATCCCAGCAAAGGGCTGTACATCCCTGTATTTCATCCACAGCATGTCTATTTCCCGCCATGCTTCACGTGGAGCAGACAGATATTTGAGAGTCCAGGAGGCTGCTCACCTGCGAGCTCTGCGCGCAAGGCAGAGGGGCTTTTGAGTGTCTTGGTCTCGGGGCCTGAGCCCACCTCGGCCTCCAGCTCCCGGTAGTAGATCCTATAACCCTGCAGAAGGCCATTCAGGCTCTCATCCCGGGGAGGCTGTAAAGACATCACACAGCATCACTGGGTCAGCCTGCATCAGGGGCATGGTGGTGTCTGCCAGTTTAACCAGCCAATGGTGCAGGGGAGGCCACTAGTTTAAGTTCATGGCTCTTGTTAAAAAAAATGAATGAAAGGTATAAAATTGAAGAAGAGAAATGCAGGAACCTCCCAGGAGCAGAGCGGAGGTCGGGAACCCCTGCACAGGGCTGTCTTCCTAAGCATGTGTTTTGGGACATGAGTGTCTCATCCCATATTCAGCTGAAGTCCTTGAATGAGCCCCAATGCTGAGACAGGAGAGGAAGCTGCCCATTGTGGGATAAACCAAGAGAGTAAGGGGTCTGGGATGTATCCTGGCTGGGAATTGTCCACTGGTTGGCCCTTCCTGGCCTACTCACTCCCTGGCCACCCAGGCTTGTGGCAGTCTAATCAGCCCCTCATTGACCTCTCCACATGCCATGTCACCCCCACCCCACCAACTCAGACCTACGGCTGAGTCCTCAGGGCTCTTCCCATGCCAGCAGGCACAAGAGGGCCTCAGACAGGTCAGGTGCTCATGTCCGTGCAATATGGAGCCAGGTGAGACCAGGCCAGCATTTAAGCAGGTTTGTTAGGCCCCAAGACCTGTACAAAGTCACATTAGGATGTCACTGCTCATCATTCAAGACCCAGTCCAAGGTCTTCTTCCCCTAGTCTGTTAAAAGTGAGTTCGGGAGGATGCTTCATTTATTTGACAGATCTGTCACTACAAGAAAAGCCCCCTGTTCCACATGGGCTCCTCGTAAAGCCTCAGTGGCCATAGATCCCATCTGGCTGTTGGGGCTCCTCCCAGGTTACTCAGATAAGGGACGTGGAGTCAGAACCTTGTGAGCTGCATCAGGAAGGTGGATGGAGACAAGCCTTGTCCCGGGATAGGATGTGCACCAAACACACTGGAATTAGTAAAATGAGGTCATGCTGTATTGGGTGGGCCCTAGCCCAGTGACTGTTCTCCTTCTAAGAGGAAGGAAGTTTGAACATGGACACACAGGGAGAATGTCATGTGAAGATGGAAACAGACGTTAGAGGAGACACCCCAACAGGTGCCATGGTGTGTTGTCTACCACAGCTCTAAGCATGGCTCTGCCAACACCTCGATTTTGGACTTCTGGCCTCCAGAGGTGTGAGAGAATACACTTCATTGTCACCCCATCTGTGGTAATATGGGACCGCAGGCCAGGAAACCAACATGCCCCTGCAGTCTAAGCTTTTGCTCACACTCCATCTATATTCCCTGAACCCAGGGACCACAAGGCTTGTGTGTTCCAACACCCCTTCCACTCTCAGTCCCAAACCCAGATTTAGAACATGGGATATCCTTTGCTCTCCAAACCTACCAACTGAATAACCAGGGGTATGCGTATTGCAATAGTAACCACACACACACACACACACACACACACACACACACACGCCAGCAGAGCATGGTATGCACACGACACACTCAGGATGTTTCAGAAATGAGAGTTGCTGACACGCTGACCCAGCAGCCCCCAGGCCTGCAGTGCAGAACAGCTCTCTGACCTTCTGCTCTGGGGGCCCCATCCAGGAACCACAGCACAGAAAAGTATTCCTGGACACCTGGGTACACTTGCCAAGTCCCAGTGGCTCACTTCAGAGGAGCCTGCAGATCCACAGAGCAGCTGGCCCTTTCACCTAGAGGAGCTCCGCTGTCCTGCCAGATCTTAAGAGTCCCTTGTGCAGGTCCAGGGCCAGAGGGCTCCTTCTCCCAGTCACCATGGTCCCAACCTCATGCGTCCTTGTCCACACCCACAGCCCTCTTCAACTCTGCCAAAAGTCCGGTGTTACCACTCTACTGGCTGCAGCCCCAGCTCCAAGGATTCCCACTGCCCATATGGGCCACAAGGGAAATGGTGTGTGGAGACTAAGACTCCAGATTCTCAGACGGATGGAGGAAAGCTCTGTCTCTGGGGGCTGGAGACTGCTTTGAGAATAACTTTTCCTTTCCTCCCCTCACCTTCCCAGAAGCAGGGGAACCTCAGAGCTGGCTCTGCTCCTGTCTTTGCTAGACCCCCTGGGGAGGGGGACACCTCTGGACACCCTGGTGCTCCCAGGCGGAACTGGGCATCCTGTGTGTGCTCTGGCATCTCTGCTCCTTCCCCTTTTCCAACCTGCCTTCCTTCCACAGGACAGCCACAGGGAGAAGCCTTCACAAGTCATCTCACAATAACCGAGCGAGTGAAACAAAACCAAAGCCAACAAGCACAGACCAGGGTCTCTCCTGGATGGGGTACGTCCGTGTGGGGACAGACACCAGAAGAGCACAGCAGGGTGCCCTGCTGTGACCACTGACCATTTTTTCCAGTTCTCTGCCTGTTGCTCACCCAGAAGGTTCCTACGACATGTCACTCATCAGAAAAGCAAAACAAAACCCCAAACAATCAGTACCAGAGCACCAGAAGTGCTGGATGGACGTAGAACCCCAGCAGAGGAGGCAGGCTAAGTGACCCCAGGGGTCTGCAGGAAGGGAAGGTTGTGTATTTTATGGTGGTTTAATTTTGTTAAGTTTTGTCTTTTTCCTTTCCACTGATTTGGTTAACAACCTTAGTGTCTGGGACACCTTGTGCACCCAGCAATGGTGAATGGCTGGAGTTCTGAGCTGTTGGTTAGCTTCCCTTGCAGCCCACCCATCCCGGGTCCCCCAGTCTTGGTCCAAACTTCTCTCTGAGGACACAGCATTTCAGAATTTTTCCTGGGGGCCCATAGGGCTCGTTTTCAGTTGCTCTTCCCTGGAGATTCTATAGACCTGTTTCCAAAGCAGTTGTTTTAGGTCTTTTTCCTGTGCTCCTGGTGGCAAGGCCGGGTGCCATCCAGTATTACACTTGATGGCACCTGGATACGCTGCTCTCAGCACATTGCCACAGAGCAGAGATGGAAACTGAGTGTGTGCAGCCCATGACACATGGCACACGTCCACTCATCTAAGGACAGGGGTTGCTGGCAGTCCACACTGTCCACTCTAGTCCTGGTTTTCTTCTGGGGTACAGTTGAACCTTAAGGTGAGATCTTTATTCTGTGGGCATCCTCCTGCAAACCTAATACAACCACACAGTAACAGACAGCTTGTTTAATCCATTCTTCTTAAGAGAAGTACAATGAATTTAAAAGTTGGAAAGTGGGTGATAAGAATAAAGAGGCATTTATCACACACTAATGTTACAGAAATAGTGGAAGGAGTCACCCGGTGAATGAAGGATGCAGGAAAATGCTGTCCTTTGCTATTTTGCCAACTAATCCCAAAGATTCAACACCTCTCCCCCTCTGACTGCAGGTCGGTGCACAGATGTGGCCTTTTGAGGGAGGGAAGATGACTCTGGGCGTGCTGGGCCCCTCCTGCAGCGAGACAGGGCAGGGATGCTCTGCTGAGGACAGGGATGATGGGGAGGCCTGTGTGCACACTTCTTGCAGAGCTGTCCCCATTTGCTCACTATGCACCCCGGGGTGGGCGCAGGGCAGACTGACTGAGTTAAGTCATGAGCTTGATGAGCTCCGCTCGTTGGGGAGTCAGCGGTAGCCTCGTCATCCTTGGGTCTACAGATTTCCTGGGGTGTGATGCACAGTGCCACAGAAAGGGGATACGCAAGGACCAAGGAGACACCAAGGGGGAGCGGTTACTGCCCACGGCAGAACCAGAGAGTAATCTATAGAGGAATGACTTTGAGCTGCCCTTGAAAGAGAAGAATCTTTTGACAAGCAGAGGAGGGGGTGGTGCTCCAGGAAGTAGGCCACATGCCTGGTACAGACCCACAGGGAGCTCTGGTGCTGGGGCAGGTAGGGAAGAGCAGCCAGGCTAAGGAGTACAGTCCCTGAGACCTATGCCAGGAATGGTCCAGGTCCTATGTTGTCCCCCACAGGGTGGACTTCCAGAATGATCTGCAACTGAACTCAAGACACTGGCCAGAACGGGGCTTCCTCCAGGTCCACTGAAGACCCACCTGTGGGCCCAGATGGTGCTCTGGGCCCCTGCTATATACCTCTGTGGCAATGCAGGAATGAGGAGCCCTTTGCCAAATGAGGGAGAGAGGGGTTCCAAGACCTCGGGAGTTTTGGCCTTCCTTTTTTGGGTCCCTGACAACCAGACAGAGAGATGCACCCCTGTTCAGCACAGTTGAGTGCCAGGGAGCCTGCGCTTGCTCCTCAAGGCTCCCAGTCTGCTCAGATGACACCGGGCAATCCTGCTGAGAGTCTCTGGGCACTGTCCTCTCATATACTGGTGGGAGGTGGGAAGAGCAGGGGTCTGGCAGGGAAGAGGAGCTGCTGGCACTCCGGTTTCTGGGAGCTGGGCTGACTGGAATCAGCAAGAAGGGAGCAGCGAGTGGGCAGATCAAAAGCTTGCAGCTGGGTCTCTTTAAGCACCAGTCCAGCAAATCTCACCCTGCGGGTCACCTTCAAAGCCTCCCTCACAGTCCCGGATTATACCCGGGGCAGCTCAAGTACTCAGCAGGAAGATTGCGAAGGCCCAGGCCAACTCTGCAGCCACACGGGCAGAGTCGTGATTACAGTGAGAGCCATTTACTGTGGAGGAGGAGGGAAGCTCAGGCCGGTGGGGAGGACCCAATTCAGTTCACCAAAAATATCAAATAAGTGGAAAGTTGGGAGGTTGTGAAAATAAAGATGGCTTTGCTGGGGAGCAAATGTAGCTCTGCAGCTGGCAGTAGACACATGTCCCCAGCCCTTGTGTGACAATCCTGGGGTGGGGGTGGGAGCAAGGGCTGAGGGCTCCTCTCAGCAATGTTCCTAGCGTTCAAGGTGGACAGGGTGCTCTGGAGGCTTAAGGAGAGGCCCAGCCCCCTCTGCCCACAGGCATGAGGACCACCAGCCACTGGGCTGGGTCCACATTCACCAACAGGCTGACGGAGGCTGTCTGCAGCAGAAGTCCCAGGGCATCTCAAGAGTCAAAATGTGTCTCCCTCTCAGCAGGAGACTTCCAGGGAGGAGGCAAAGCCCTGGAATGATTTGGATAATGTCCCCCAAAGGCCGGTGTGTTGGAGGTTTCATCCCAAGGTGACAATACTGGGAGGTGGTGAGACCTTGGGGAGGTGGATCTTAGGAGGGGGCACTTAGGTCATTGGGGGTGCCCTTAAAGAAGATTCTGGGATCCCAGTCTCTTCCTCTTTTTTTCCCTCCAGTGCTGGGGATGGCCTTGTGCCTGCCAGGCAAGGGCTCCGCCGCTGACCCACGCTCCCAGCCCTGGCCTGGTCCTCTTTCCCTCTCCTTGGACTGGAACCTCCAGAACTGGGAGCTGTAAGCCTGTTCCCGTATAAGTCCTTCTCCTGGTGTTTGGTACAGTGACGGGTGCTGAAGCCCTGAGGTGGCTTGGCTCGAGGCTGCCTCTGGCCCAGGCCTGTCTGTGCACAGGTTCTGTCTTCCCAGCAGGACCTGTGCTTGTCAAGGGCCAGGTGATGCTGTGGAGACTCCGGGATGCCACCAAGGCCTCCTGGACAGGGTTTGACCCCGCTTTCTGCCGCAGCTGTGAAAGGGCTGAGAGGCTCTGGAGCCCTTGGTGGTATCAGCAGGCAGCTCCTTGCAACACACGGCTACGGGAGGGAGGGCGGGCAGTTCAGGCTGCGACTCCAGGCTTGGCTCTGATGCCACCCTGCCTGTGCACTCCCCAGCTTGCCCTAGGCCTGTAACAGGTGGGACTCTGTCTAGGTGGTCTCCAGAGTGTTACAGGACTCTGAGCCCAGGGTTTGCTCCCAGGCCGGCTCTCTAGCCCCTTCCTGTTTCTGCTTTGGCACTGACCAAGAATGCGAGGCTCTGGCAGCCTTTAGTTCCCTCCCCACAGCACCTGGGACGGGCCTTGGACAGGCTTTGGACGTGGCAGGTGCTCAATCAACGCTCGTGGAATTGAGTTGGACTTGCTGAAGTCCAAGATGACCCTGTCTGTGCTTAATTTCATCCTGGATTGGCCATCTGTATGGGCAGATGCTTGAAGGGAACTGGGAATCCCTCTGAAAGCTGTTTCCCTCTGCCTGCCACCATCAGAACCCACCAGCAGACTCTGTGGGAGTCCTGCAAGGATTTTCACTCTTCAAAAGCCCACTATTAAAATGCAGGTGACCTGGAAGGAGTGCACCTGGGTGTCACAGGCTGAGGATCTGGACCACTGGGTTGAGAGGATGGCCTGGGCCACATGCCTGTTTCCCCTCTGCTTAGGTGGGGAGGAAGGTGGGCAGGACCGACTTTTCCCCACTTCAAAGGAAGGTCTCCTGGGGAACATGATCTCGGGCTGTGGCTCAAGTCCAGATCTGATGGGAGTGCCATGCCCCCTGGGGTCTGTGTTTATATTCCCCTGACTTCTGCTTTCTGGAGAGTGGAACACAGATTCCCTCTGGGATTAAATCCCAGTAGTTCAGAGGAACACAGGAGGCTCGAGGTGCCTTCCCATGAAACACAGGGTCAAACACAGCACAGCCTCTGCTTCGGCTGTGTCTTTGCCCTGCCTTGGATCTGGGAGGCCTGTCCTTCCTGTAAAGTGTGCTCAGCTGTCCCATCAGCCAGTCAGTGGCCCCCTGGCTGTTGTCTCATAACAGCCTGAAAGAGCTCCTTGGGTCTACAGTCATCTGCAGCCCTCTGCCCAGGGTGAAGCAGGACATCCCTGAGATTTGTTTTGAAGAAGTCTGCAGCCCCTCTCCCCCAGTGCCCAGGCACCTGTCCTCTGCCCTGACAATGCTTAGTCCATCCTCAGCTGACAGCTTCAAGTATGAAGTCATCTATTGGTTAGGACTTTGTCTTTGCTAGAAACTGTCTCCAAATGGACATAGAGGAATCTGAGTGGCACAGGGGCCGTGTGTGGCAGGCTGTGTGGTCCTCGGGAAGGTTTGGAAGAGCTAGCTCCCCCGCTGCCATCAACTCATAAACTTCACTGCCCGTTATGAGCAGTGCTCAGCGGGAATGCAGTGCACCCCTGTCTAGGACGTGCGTTCAAATCCTAAGAATTCAAACAGAAGCAGAACCATGAAAGGTGAGATTGATTATCCCACAAAGAAGAATGAAATCTGACAGACTGCTGGGGGAGGCATTTCGTGGGGTCTGCTGCCTTGAAATTTCAGCTGGTGTTTGCATTTTTAAACAAATTTTAAAAAATAAAGATTTACAGGTGAAACATTTCATTTGGAATGCAAATCTATATTTAAACCTAGTTTCTTTTTCTTTGTTCTATTCGCTCTGATTTAGTAAATTACTCATAATTTTAATTGTACTTCAATTGCCTGGCAGTTGACAGGCATTCATTTGTACAATGCAGCGTATTGACCACCTCCTGCTCTGGGCTTCATGCAATTAGTTTGTTCTGTTAGGCTCTGGAGAGGACAGCTGATGGACACATATGCCAAGTTCCCTTGGAGCAGCCCAATGCTTCAGAGCTGTCCAGCAGCAATGGAGGGGCCTGGAGCCGTGCTGTGGGGAGGCAGGACGCTGGGGCAAACAGAGCCCCTTGTTTGGGGGAATGAGTGTCCCAGCCTGAGCACCAGCTGCCTTTATGGAAAAGGAGTTTACCTAGTTATTGGCAGGCCACTACCATGTTCACAAAGAAAATGCTGATTTTTTGGCAGAGTTTAGCATATACAAAGGACCAATCTCCTTTCAGCTGATTATGTTTGCGGAAGGTGGGAGTATCCAGCGCTGGGGACCTTGAATTTCCATTTTGAATGTTTCCAGGGCCCAGCATGGCCCTAGAGGAAGTCAAGGCCAAAGCAAGGGCTGTGGAGACCCGGAACACCAGGGAGCTCACACCTTTGAGAACTTTGCTTCTAGAGAGAAACCTGGAGCCAGAGGGTCACAGTGGTCCAGGAGAGTTAGGGGCTAGGTCCTTTGTCACTTTGCTCAGACAATTCAAGTCAGGTCAGAGCCTGGGTTGGAGGCTTCATGATCCTGGCCCCATGCCCTACACTCTGGTCAACTTAGAAAACACTAGGAAATATCTTTGGTCACCTTGGAAGATTCCCAGCCATAGACAGGAGGTGAAGAAGTGGCCCCAGCATCCTCTCACTACTTGAAGGAGATGATGGGCACCTGGAGGAAACCCCCCTTTGTTATGGAATCCACCCTTGTAAGTCACGGTTAATCAGGGGGAACCCCACAAAACTGCCACTTTTGTACTTTAAATGTGATGGTATTTCACAGGATTCAACCTGAGACTTCAAGTGACAACATCGCGGAAGACCAGCACCCTCAGGAGTCACCAGTCACCAGTTGGCCAGGTCAGGCATACTCCTGCTCTCATGGGGTCTACCAGCTGCCCTGGTCTCCTGACTCACTTCCTTCCCTCAGCTCCTTCCCATCACTCCTTGCCCAGGCCCTTGTAGGTGCCCATGCTGGTGGCTGCCCTGGCCCTGTCCTCCAGGCCTGCAGAGCTAAGTGCTGCCACCCCAGTGCCCTTCTCCAGGGCCCAGGGAAGTGCTCGCCTTGGGATGAGCTCCCCAATGGCCTAGCACTCCGGTCCCTTCCCCTACTGCTCCCCCATCAGGTCACCCCTATGCCTTTCCAGTGGACACTCTCCCAGCTTCCACTAGGCTGACAGTCTGCATGGTCAAGAAACGGCCCTCTCAGCTCTCCAAGGCCATGTCCAGACCTCTGGCGCCTGGTGGTCATCAGCATCACTGAGTTTCCTTTGTTTCCTGACCTCTTGAACGTTTCCTGCCTGCTGACTTCCTGCTGTACTTGAGCTGGCACCTTCCATTCTCCTTGACAGTATTGTCATCTGAAGGAACAGTCTCATGACCATGCAGGCCACCCTCTTGATCCCCCAGATCAGAGGGCCGCTCCTGGGCCCAGTAAACCTTGCTGTGGAACTGAACACCGCTCTTGATGGTATCTGTCCCCATTCCCCAGCATGATACCCCCATTCTGGCATCAGGGACTTCCCAGTTAGCCAGACGCCCTGCTTGTCCTCTCATCACTGTCCTCACCCTGCCCACTGGCCTGTCAGCCTGCTGTTCCTGCCCAGGCAATCTTCAGCCCTGGGAAACTCAGCATCTGCCTCCTCTGCTCCTGGACCTGGGCTCCTGGGACCCTGAGCCGAGCCCTCTCCTGCAGATTCCCTCCATCATCCCCTAGCTGTTCTTTCCCAGGGATCTCTGTGCCTTTCTCTGGCCCTTCTGCCCCTCTGTCATTTGTGTCCTCAATACACTTCTTGGTTACCAAATTGGAAATAAGGCAGAGAGGGTGGTGTGTCCTTGCCAATGGGCCAGCAGAGTGGTGTGATTATGCAGGAGAAGCTTCTTGGGTTTGGTTCAATGTTCACTGGAGATTAAAATCACAGACTTTGTGCAAGTACATGTAATCCTGTAGCTATTTTATCTGCTGTCATTGATTTCTCTAGAAAAGACAACTGCGGGCTGGAGTTCACTGCCCTGTGGGCCATTGGTTCTGTTCTGGAGAAGGAAGCCCAAGTCCAGCGCCCTTTGTCACAGGCTCCTAGATAGACAGCAGCTCTAAGGCTCTGAACAACCTGGCTGCCCCAGAGGCCCTGCCCAGTTCCCTGTGTATGCGCACCACAGCCCTGTTTCTAGGACTTTGGAAGTTACACTTCCACATCATTTTCCCTTCCAGTTTGCCAGCCTGACCAGACTGTGTCCCTTGTTCCACTCAAACACTTGGCAGGGGCTCTGCTTGCATCTGTGTCCAGCCACTGGACCAGCCAGGGAATGATAGCCTGTTTCATAAACACTGAGGTCTCCCAGCTCTTACCTGCCACTGGATCAGGACCGAGGAGGTGGTGTGCGGGGTCGCGGAGACAGACCCTGGAGGCTCTCCTGGAACTGAAGCCAGGGAAGAAGAAGCAGGGTTAGAACAGCTGTGAGCCTGGCCACGGCAAGCTCTGCCTCCTTCCCAGGGGCAGCCTTCTCTGGGCCTTCCCCACAGCACCCTGTCCAGTCCCTCCCTATGGTTCCAGATCTGTGAGGGTAGGGTGGGCATACATCATTCTAGAAGTCTCTTAGGTCAGAGCTGCTTCTGAGAAGGACAGATGGTCACACTGAGATAGGAGTTTGGAGATACAGAAAAAGAAAGATATACTGAGTCTCAAAAGAAAAGTGTCCATAAACAAATGCAGAAAAAACCCAAGAGCCATTGGAGTGCAAAGCAAGCAACCAGGAACACCCAGCTCTCGACCTTGGCCAGCCACCCTTGGCCCTCATCCTTGCCCACAAAAAGTGACACCAGGAGGGCAAGACGGAAGGGCGGGGAAGCTGGCATGAAGTTGTATAACTCCACCCTGCCTCTTTCTCTCTAGTTTAGCCCTGGCTTCTGTCCCTCTGTGAACATTAACATCCCAGAGCAAGGGGTTGTGGATTGTCACTCTGGAGATGGCCAGCATTCTCCTCAAACGTGTGTCAGCTTTCCTAGATAGCTGTCTCTAACTCATGTGTCCTTAAGTTCATTTCTGCCAGTTTGTGGAGAACAAGAACCCCACTGTCCTTAGTTATGGTCCCCTTCTCTAGGAACTCCTTGGACCCAGTGTTCTTGGTTCAAATTCTAATGTGACTCTTAAGAGGGCTGATCTCTGGTGAGGCTGTCGCTGGCTGGGCAGCAAGGCCAAAGGCAGCCAGTCAGGGTCCTGCGGCCATGATCTTGGAAAAGACCAGGTTGTTTTGACCTCTGCCCATGGCAAGCCCTGTCCCTGGCCAAAGTGTGGCTTTCTGTCACCCGCCATACCCAGGAGGTCATCTTTGACTACTTTTCTATGCCCTCTGCTCCTTCCAAATTGATGCGGTCCTTTTAATGTACTGAACTGACCTCCCCATGTCTCCTTGGCTATAAGGTCACAGCAGAGGCCTGACACATATTCTACATCCAATAAACATCCACTGAACTGCATAAGATTGAGGGTGTCCCCAGACCCTGTCTGTGCCTGGCAGACTCTCCACTCTGGCTCTAAAACTCCTGCCAGGTCAACCTCTGTGAATCTCCTCTGGATCTGCCAGCCGCCCCCAGCCACACCCAGCCCCAGTTCTGCCTCCCACAGCAGGGTCTCCATCCACCCTTGGAACTCCTGCTGGCCTGTCCTCACTGTGGGCCCTTCATCTAGCCTTCCTGAGAGCCCCTCACAGCAGACTGCAATTATAGGGGCCTCTCAACATTCTCAAGCTGTGAGGTTATGCAGGAAATAAAAATCACAGTAATAAGAAAATCTTTATCAGTAAACCATCCACACACTCCAAGGATCCTCCCCATCAAGCAGGGTCAGCCTGTGCCTGTCAATCACAGCTCTCAGCAGGAGACAAAGCAACACAAATACAATGCAAATCTGATGCAAAGGGAAATTGCAAATCTCAGAGAAGGAAGATGCTCAGATAGGTGCATCAAAAGCACTGATTTGAATATCAAAGGACTGAGAAAGGCCTGGGAGCTTGGAGAGTCCCTCGAATGGTTTTTCAAGAAATGGCCCATTCCTGCAGGTCACAGGGAGGCTGTTGGATCTTGTGCTCACATGGTTTGTCAGAGATAACCCAACAATAAAATCAGCTTGTTATGTGTCTTTCTTCTTTCTTCTACGAATTAGTGCACAGTTGCAAAAATTACCTCAGTTGTGTTAAATGTAAATTAAAACGAAAGCATTTTCAGTTTCAGATGATGCTTTAGTTCCAGTGCCAACCTTCCCGGTGGTTTAGCGTGAAGTTGGCCCCCACTTGAAGTGGATGAATTGGAAGGCTTTGGGATTGCATGGAGCCTCAGTCATGAATGAAGGGGTTTGTGGACTCTTTACCTCTGCACTGACCTAGGAGCTCCCTGGGGCTGACTGGCTCCCCTGCCCAGCAGAGCTGCTGAGCCCCACAGGACTCTGAACTGGGGATTCTCCCCCAAGCCTCTGAAGGCTTCTCTCCCCTCCTGCCTTTCCTCCAGGCTCCAATAAACTCCCAGGTTTAGTGCACAGGAAATAGTTTGGGAGAGGCTCAAGGAGTGGGGCAGTCAGTCCTCAAGGGCAGGCCAAGGGCCTCCTGGAGGCCAGAGGGCATCAGGGCGCAAAACCAGCAGATTCTACCCCACTGGGAGAACTAGTTTTCTAGCAAAAATCAGTTTTTCTGTGTCGCTGAGGAGTTGAGTATGGTTCCCCTCCTCCCTGGGCTGGTCCCTAAGGTCCTGCGAGGCTCTGTTTAGGAAACACTAAACTTCTAGGTTCTAAAAAAAAAAAAAAAAAAATGGAGATGTGAGGTCACAGGGTGAGTGGCTGGAAGCTGGTCTATTTGGAAATCTTTCCACTGGTGCGTTAAATGGGAAAGACAGGGCTTTGGGCTTGGCTTAGGGAATTATTATCAAGCACTGCTGGGTGGACTAAGTGCTCAGGCCTGGGGCCGGCTCTGTGCCTGTTACACAACATCCATCGTTTCCATCCCACAGGCCACCAGACCATCGCTGTTCCACACATCTGATGGAGCTGTCCCCTGGGCTCCCTTCGGCCTAACAGGATGGGGCATAGAAAATTACAATGAACCTTCAGGCCCAGAGCTTCTGAGGCAGGATGGGGGTGAAGAACCACCTGGTGCTCTGAGGAGCTCTGCCTTCCTTGACCTGCCTGTGCTATTCTCAAACCAAGGGCCTTTAGAAAAACTGGGGAAACCTCTTAAACCCAGCTACCCACTGACATTCATTTTTAACGACCCTATCAATTATTCAACTTCTGGGATGCTAATGGATGTAAGGGGCTTTGGAAGCCAATCAAAGAAAGTTCCATTCCATTTGGAAGCCCTTGAAGCCTTGATTTACGACCACAGGGCAGGCAGGAACACTGGAAGCTGTCTGTCACTAATGGGATTCTGCTGCTCGCCACTGCTCCCTGGTGATCCCTTCCTTCCTGGCTCAAGACAAAGTGGGGCCTCTCTCTAGGAGCAAGTGTTTGGGGCCTCAGGGACAGCAGTAGAGAATGGTTGAGCCTCAACTTGCTCACCGTCCTGCAGTGTGGTGACCGCCTCCGTCTCTGAACTGAAGTCGCTGTCCCCGATGTCATTGGTAGCTTTCAGGCGCAGCTTGTAGGAGGTGAAGGGCCTCAGCCTGAAGTGGAGAGAGACTGTGACTGTGACGCACCTCCCACCTTGTTCCGTCCATCCTGGGCAAGCACAGAGGGAAGGCAGGTACCTTCCCAGCCCTGAGAGTGAGGGGCTCTTGTGCCAGTAGAGATGGGCCATTAAATCACCCCCAGGTACAATAAACGGGGCCTCTAAGGGGACCGTGGAAAATTACAGTGAATCTTCAGGCCCAGAGCTGTGAACACACAGCTGTGTGAACAGCCTGTGAACACCCTGGACCGTGATATCAGGGTAGGAGGGTTTCCCATAGCAGAGATCTGGGAGAGATCCTGGTCTAGGAGGCACCACCATCTCCACAGTGAGAGTCCACAGCCAGCCACTGCCCTCTGGGGAAATTGAGGGGCAAGGTTGCCAGGAGATGCTAATTAGATCAGCCCTAGCACTGACCTGCAAAGCGGGCGCCTGCCTGATGCACCCCTCTGCTCCTAGTGCTCCTGCGCGTAGTCTTCCCTGGCCCAACCTCAGGGGTCAGCCCAGGTCCAACTCTGCACAGCTGGGAGGGCCACCAACCTCTCCCTCCCATTTGCTGAACCTGCCTGGGACGAGGCACTTGGTAAGTATCATCCCATTTGGCCTGCACGGTGGCTTGATGGGCAGGAGTCATCGCTATGCCCATTTCCAGGCTGAGAAAACAGGCCAGTCGGGCCAATTCACTTGCCCACTGCCAGAGGACTGGTAAATGGCACAGCCAGGATTGGAATAGGGGCTTGTCTTGAAGCAGCATTCCTATGTCACATAATACAACGTCCATGTCAACTGTCCCTGTGAAAAATGTCCCAGACCCCTGATGAAGATGTTAGGGCGCTAATGCTCTGCTTAGTGCTCACACTTCAGGCCTAGCTGTGCCTGCTCCCCAGCCCGCCCTCCCTTCTTTCCTTCCTTCCATAACAGCAATAGGGGAAGCATTTCTTTAAAGTATATCCTTGAAAAGATGTTTTTTCTTAGAGTGACTTCCTCCTCCCCACCCAATCTTTCCCTAATCTATTCCCCATCTTTAACATCCCTTCCTCCCTTTCTCTCAGTTTCTAAACCCGGTTTCTAAAGAAGTCCCTCTGCAATGCCTTTCCTCTCTTCCATCAAAAAGTAGCATGTTTATCTGGAAAGAAGATGCAGATGCTGGCCCAGGAGGTCAGGTGCCCTTTGATGTGATAAGGAGGCAACAGAGACTCAAGGCCAATGTCTTGGAAGAGAGAAGCCTGTGAAATTCCTGCCTTTTACACCTCTTCCTCTCATAAAAGCTTTCTACCCCCTGAGTTCTCTGAAGAAGGAGCTTTGAGACTGAAAGTTCTCTATCTTGCTCAAAGCTTTGAATAAAACCTGTATTTTCCTTGCCAACCTGCCTCCCGGGTTTCAGTGGAGCACACAAGCCCTAAAGCCTTTCCTTCTTGGTTTTCCTCCTTTCTTCCCCTCCCAGCCACCGAGCCATGGTGGCTGTTGGGGCTCACAAGCCAAGCCCCATGCCAAACCTAAGCTGAGACTTCAGACTACACAGATGATGTCCCTTCTTCATGTCACTGAGTCCGTCAGTGACAAATGCCCTGGCTGGTTCGGTGTCAGGCCAATCGGCTCTTCCTGGTTGCCCTTCACTTCTGCATGGGCAGGCAGGGAGGCCACATTGTCTCCCTCCCCACCAGCAAGCAGCTCTGCATCAGGCCACAGCTGCACCATCCTCTGTGTTCCAGGCCAGAAGACTTGAGGGTGATTAGGACCCTCAAATCCCTGTCCTCAATACCAAGCCAACTATAAGTCCCCCTGACTGCCAGTCTAAGCCCAAGTTCTCCTCACTTGAAAGCCAGTCCTCCCCCCTTTACCACCCCCTCTAGAGCCAACCTATAGCCTGGGGGTTTTGCAGCCAAGACTTGGAACCCCTGAGACTAAGGACCCCGTGAGTGCAGAGCCCCTGCCGCCCAACAGCAGCAGCAGCCACCCCACTGATGCCTGGTTTGTGCACTCAGGGTGGAAAATACTTGTTTAGAGAAAGGGTCCTGCTTTGAAGGAAACCAATAACCATTTCTGGAAACTATGAACAGAAACCTTTCCAGTTCCCCTGCTTCCACAACACTCCTGCTTGAGATGGATTACAGCCCTCCTCCATCAGCTCCAGGGATGCTGTACCTCAAGCCCCCAGCAACCAACTCTTCCTGGCTGCTCCCCACTGGCCTGGTGTGGCTGCTCTGCACTCAGCTCCTGCAGCTGGGAAGAGCAGTGACCAGAAGCCTCAGGACTCCAGAGAGCCTTAATGGAGATACTTTCAAAGTCCCACAGCTATGATGGTCTCTGCTGCAGGCTTTGCCCTGTGAGGGCCTAGCCTCACCCAGCTTAGCTGCCCACATATGCAATGCCAGCAGCTTCTCCTCCTGACACAGGAGGTGGTCCAGATGGCCCTTTGGCATGTGGACTCTGAAGTCAAAGTGCTTAGCTTGGTTCCCAGTCACCCTGGATAGGCCACATTGCCCCACTTCCTAATATGGATGGGTAATAATGCTCATGTCACAAGGGTGAGAAGATTACTACATTCAGGTGAGGTCTTAGGAGAGTCTAGCACAGTGTAAGCACTCACTTAACATTCGCTGTTACAATGTCACCCTTTAGGATCAGCTTAAATAGCTAACATGCCTGTCCTGCCAGCTGTCCTCAGACCTTGTTTATTTCCCTCATCTCCTTTATCCCAATCTCTCTTTCCTTGATGACATTACAAGAGGCAACATCCAGGAGGAAGGACCTTGTCCACCTCACTTCCTGCAGTAGCTTCAGCACCACACCAGGTGCACAGTTGTCCTTTACTGAAGGAATGAACAAAAGAGGACAGTGCCAGGAGCAGAGGACATGGATAGAAACTAACACATGTCCGGTGTGTGGAAGGAGCTTCAGAAAAGACTCAGCCTTACATTTAGCAGCGTGTAGCGCAGGACTTCACTGTTCACTAATGATTTAGGAGTTTGGGGACACACTGAATGCTCCTTGAAGACTCTCTCCCCATAATCCCACTTGGGTCTGTAACCTCTGGGGGCCCAGAATGCCACACAGTGACGAATCTTGTCCAGCTCTGAGATTCACAGGGCTGGGTACAAGGAGAGAGGACACAGTCCAGCAGCAGGCTCAGGTTCTGCCAGGCTCGCCTCATTCAACAAACATAATGAGCTGCCTCGGGGAGCCGCAGGGCTCACACACATGCCTGCACAAGGGAATGGCACCCACTGTCCAGATGAGACATGTGACAGCCCTTCTCCATCAGCTCCAGGGATGCTGCACCTCAAAGCCAGGTTCCCTGGCTCGGGGCTGACTGAGCAGCATCCTGTGCACACTGACCCCAGCCCCCTCCACCCCTCTGCAGAGCTGCTCCTCTGGACTGCTGGTCCACTTCCTGGCCCGCTGGTCCACTTCCTGGCCCTGGCACCTCCAGCCTACCTCAAGCCCAAGCCAAACTCCATGCTGTGGGGACCAGGACTTCAGTGACTACTTGAGACAGAAGCAAAGGAACAAATGGGTCTGGAACTCTCCCATTCATCTCTTCTGATTCCCCCAAATTCCGTGCATGCGCTCGCTTGCGCGCGCGCGCTCTCTCTCTCTCTCTCTCTCTCTCTCTCTCTCTCTCTCTCCAATTCAAGCCTCTGCTTTGGAGCTGTCAAGCAGAATTTCCATTCTGGCTCTGCCACTACAAACTGGGGCAAGTCATTTAGCTTCTATGGCTGTCACTTTTTCCATCTATTAAAATGGAGAGGATGGTATTGACACTTCTCAGGGATGTTGCAGAAATTAAATTTCATAACCAACCCCCCTCATGGAGTCTAGTGGATCTTGGCATATGGTAGGCAATTAACAAAGGTGGCTTTCTCTCTCTGGTCTTCCTGAAGGCTTTACTCTGAGTCCTCTTGCTTTCTTTCAGGAAGCCCTTTGATGCAGGGGGCTGCTTCCCCTGGCCATTTGCATATTCCACATGCCTCCCCTTCCAAATCTCCACTATCCAACCTCAGAAACCTAATAGATTTAAGTACATTTTAGAGATGACATTTGTTACCTAAACTCTTGCTTCTAACCACCTCTAACACCCAGAAAATGAACCCAGTAGATAATACAGGACCCTGGCTATCCAAACTTGCTTCAGAACCCTGCTCCCCAAGCCCCCGAACAATTACACTGAGGAAATAAGTGTGTGCTGGTGCTGGCTCCAACTATTAATCACACACAGGAATGTCACCTCCAGAGCCTTCTGCTTTGCGTGGGGCATGGGGCATGGCTTAGAGTTCAGTGTTCTTCCCTCAGAGCTATTTTTGGGGTCTTATCAACAAAAGGAGTTCCTATATACTTCAATTGTTTTGGTTACAGTGTAAACTGTATGAGTTCTGGGCATTAAAAAACTATCGCCTTTTATTTATTTATCTTAAAGGCATCAAAACTAATAAGAACTCATTATTTGCATCACAGAGAACAAAAAATATCCAACCCATGCATAAAATCCTTGGCCGAATATACCTGATTTTTAAAAGTCAGTATTTTTGAAGATTATGTAGAAGAAGAAATGAAGACCCTGATGGATTTAGGGTCAGCATGTTGGCTCTAAGTCCCTGCTGTTTGATGTGAGAAATCCCTTCTGGCCCTCATGTTTTCTCTATGGGTTCATGGCACCTGTTGCAGCAGAACAGTGCTGAATCTTTTTTTCCCCCTTTGTTTCAGATGGTTTCACAAAGTGGTGAAGTTATTCATACCCATGGGTGCTGCTAATTAAGCTCAGCACCCAGGGCAATTGATCGTGGTTTATTAAGTAAGGCAGAAAGCCAGAGTCTACTGCTCACTCATGCATAGCCCCCAGGGTCCATGGTCACTGTCCATCCTGAAGTCCATATGGCCCCCTCTCTCTGCACATCTGTGCTAGGCTCACAGTCTGACAATCCTGACCATTGTCCAGGAGCTCACGATGTCCACACAGGTCTCAGGTGACCTTCTCCCTGGTGCTCTGGAACTAGATCCAGGCACAGTCACAGATCTTGACAGTTAAGCACTAAGTAATTTTTTTTTTAAGCAGGTTTCATAAGACAGGTAAAGGTCAAATGGAGCTGTCAGGATTATTAAGCAGGAAGGGTGATCATACCACAGCAGTGTACAAAATATTGCTTCCTTGGGATTCTGCCCGTGATGTGTTTTCTATTGACAAGTGGAGGAGGTATTTGTCCTAGTTCTGGCCTGTTAGGAAATTGATAAAAGTGTCCTCTGTACCAAATAAAACTGCCTGTCCTGAAACATGAACCTCTGCTTTTCTTGACCAAACAAAGCACACAATTATCTGGGCGATCTCAGAAGGTTCCAGAAAAAAAGTGCTGAATCTTTTTTTCCCCCTTTGTTTCAGATGGTTTCACAAAGTGGTGAAGTTATTCATACCCATGGGTGCTGCTAATTAAGCTCAGCACCCAGGGCAATTGATCGTGGTTTATTAAGTAAGGCTGGGCACGTCTGGCCACACTCACCTGAACCCCAGAGGCAGGACAGGAGAATTCTAGAGGTGACACCTGTGCCCAGAATGGCTCCCCTCTGGAGCGCTAGGAGCTACACCTCCCAAGCTCCACTGCTATTGCTCCATGGGTGACTGGGTGCTGGCAGAAGCCTGGGAGAAGTCTGGCCATTCAGGATTGCCTACTTTTTGCTGCCAGTTTGCTGGCAGTCAATAATGAGGCCAGTTGGGGACTCAGCCGAAAGAACCACAGGATTGACCTTCAGCCCTGCCTTTCACAGGTGACGAGAGGGAGCGTGGCAAATATCTGGTGATGAACTTTTCCCAGGCCACGAGGCTACGCAGGGTGTCCACAAAGACTTGAGCTACAGGCCCACAGAAAGGCAGAGCCACAGAGGAGCCAAGGGCTCAGCCAAGGCACTGCACACCCATCACCTAAAACATCCTGCCTCAAGCTTCTCACTTGTGAAGTGGAATTCTAAACACTCCGACCTGCACCTCCACAGGGCTGCCGGGAGCAGCGTATGACCTATGGGAGTGGTGCTTCGGGTGACAGCGCTGTACTCTTAGTCACCCCCTCACTCAAGATTTTGCTCTCCTCATTTTCAGTTGCTCATGACTGTCTGAGATCAGAAAATATTAAATGGAAAATTCCGGAAATAAGCAAGTCCCTAAGTTTTAAGTAACTTTTATCACAGTCCATTGTTATATTGTTCTATTTTACTATGAGTTTTTGTCATCAATGGCTTACCATTAAAGTTTATCCTAAGTGTGTTTGTACAGGACACAGCACAGCAGGCAGGTGCAGCACTATTGCTGCTTCAGGCATCTGGGGGAACGTCTGGCAATGCGTGGGTGCAGCTCTGGGTGCAGCTCTGCTGAGGCAGGGCCTCCCCTCGGCCTGTGACCTGCCCTGATCGCCAGCTCCAGAGTGAGCCCAAGCCTGAGAGCCACTGCAGAGAGCTGGTCCTCATTCCCTCAGAGGAGGGGATGCTCACAGCCTCTGATCAGCTTTCAGGGTCAGTGCCTCCAGGGGGCACAGTGTGGGTGACAACGGCCATATCAGCCCACCTCTGGTTACCACTGCGCCAGCACCTGGTGCCCTGGGTGTCATGCGGTCCTTATTTCAGGCTACTCCATGACTTAAAAGACTGGGGGTGAGGAGATGTCTAAGGTCAGTCAAATCACCTGTGCAAGATGACCCAAGAGCAAGTGGCAGAAGCCAGGCCTGAACCCCCACGTTCTATATAACAATCCCTCCTCTTATAATGTGCTGTGACCACCCCTCCCATGTGTCACCTCCACCTCTGTCACTTGTCCCTGAGGGGCATTTCTCTTTTCTTTAGATCACCCCATTGTCACACCTAAGAGGCAGTGATGGAGCCACACTCCCACCTGCCCTCATCCCAAAGCGTATCCTGGGGTCTCTGAGGATGGAGGTGCCCGGGGGCTTGTGAGAAGCCAGGTGTCAGGAGTTTCCTATGTGCCTAATACCGATCTCCCCGGACCCCGCAGTGGTGAGGATGCTGGAGGCCTGGGGCCTCCTCCAAGACTAAGGCCTGACAGTTTACTTAGCCTCTCAGCCTGTTTCCTCCATAGTAAAGGGGGGTGAAAAGGCAGTCCTGAGCCCCACACAAGCAGACCTTGGGTCAGGGTCCGAACAGGAGGACAGTTCCTAGCTTATTCCCTGGGGCCCTCACACCCCACTGCTCACCCCCTGCTCACCCCTTCTCCATGCTCTCCTTTCCCCAGCTCTACCTTCTGGAGGAACTGGGACTCGGAAGCCACACAGTCTCCCACTCTGTAGGCAGGAGGAGGCCAGGGCAGAGACCCACAGGGCAAGGCCCAGGCTACTTGGGGAAAGTCCTGGTTCCCATAGTACCTTTCAACGGCACAGGCTGTGGCCTCGTGGCTGATGGACGAGGAGTAGGTCTGCCACTCTCCCCTGGGCAGCTCCCGAACTTGCACAGTGAAGTACCGGATGGGGGAGGCCCCATCACTGCCTGGAACCCACTGGAGCTGGAGGCTGCGGGCTGTCACTTCCGCCTGGGGCACCAGGAGCTCTCTGGGGGGTGCTGGCCGCTCTGCAACCAAAGGAGGACAGACCAGGGATGGGTGAGAGGGTGCTCTCTACTGTTTCCTGCTGCCTGCTTAGACTCGGTGCATCAGGCACCAAAAGGCTTGTCTCCATGGCTGGGGTGAGGAGGTTGTCTTAGCTGATTTTGGACATGCCCAGCTTGGAGCTGACTGGAGACTCCTGCTGGCTCCCACAGCAGAGCCAGCCAGAGGTGGGCAGAGGTGAACACCATATGGGCCCCCACCCTCCCACCATCAAGAGCAGGTGTGTGAATGACAGCTGGCTTTGTAGGGGCTAAGACATCTCCTGCCTCATTCAGTCCCCCGGAGTTTGGGCTCAGTACATTCCTAAGCGTGGACTTTCTTTTCCTTGCAGTCAACCAGAGTCTAACTCATTAGCGGCATCTCCTTGGTTCTTCTGAGGGGCAGGGAGCAGGTGCAGGGCAAGATCATCTCTGAGCTACCATGTCTGCGGTGATGAGACTGAGGTATGGGGTGCAGGGTGCATGGGTCCAGCCCAGGCATCACTTTCCTGTCACCCTGGCCTCGTTTCCCATCGATTTCAATAGAGAAACTCCACAGAGGGAGGAATAATTGTTTAATTGTTTATCATGAAGATTATTGATTCTGATTAAAATGTGTGGCGTGTAATAAAGCAGCAATTGATTGTCGGCCCTGCAGTGATGGGTCCGTGAGAAACGCTTCGATCTAACTTCATCAGCAGTCCGATCCTTAGGCACACGCTTTGGCTGCCTGACTTCTCCTGGCCCGAGTAATAGCCAGGCTCCCCCCTGCTTCCAAGGCCCCCCTCTGGACATACTGCCCGCTGGGCTCCGTCTTCCTGAGCTACCAACTGAGGGCCGGGCAGAAAAATCTAAACTCTCTGGGCTGGAGAAGCAGGTGGCTGGGAGGAAGCAGGGTGCAGGGTGGGGAGCAGTGGCACCCACGCCCTTAGCAGCAGGCCAGTGTGGACCAGGCCATGAGGGTCCACCCACAGGAGGATGTTTGTGTGAGTATTTCTACTCAACTCTGGAGTTGAGCCATGTCTGCCTTTGGCCAGCCGCCATGCTACCCTCTGCTTGAGAGCTGAGTCCTCCTACATGGTGTTACCCAGAGGAAGACGGCATGGATCAAAGGCCACTAGGCACAGGAGCCAGGGCCTCAGCTGCCACCCCCAGGCCATGACCACTCTCCCCAGTAACAAGGACCCTAAGGACCAGGATGCAGCTCCAGTTCCTGGGAATCTTCCCAGCCCAGGTTTGGCAGGTCGCTTCACCTCTCTGAGCCTCAGCCTCGTCCTCCACTAAAGGACATGGAAAGAGTACCGGCTGCTGGAGGTGTGGGGAGGTGAGGGGCATTTTGGAGAAGCACTTGCTCCCAGGCCAGGCTCACGGGAGGAGCACAGTTGGCCCATTTGAGAAAATGTGGGTGAAAACACGTGCACCAGGAAAAGGTGGAGAGGTTTGCTTTGGGAGAGTCACTGATTATTTTCCCCCAACTTCAGACAAAACTTTCCCCTGATAACCAGGGGTGGCAGCAAAGGGAACTGAAGGTGGTCCTTTAAAGGGTCACTGAGTGTGACTGGCCTTTCCCCTCCATCTGCTGCACACTCAGAAGTTCTGGCCTCTCGGTGACATGAAGGCGCCTATAAGGATACCTTCTATCAACAATGCCAACAGACAGCCGCACCGGTGGCATAGCGGATGTGCATTATTGAGTGCTACCGCACCCTAAGGGAAATGTCACCACTGTCTCCCTCACTGGGAAACAGGCCTGCTGCTCAGTGATCCACTGGGACTCCCAGAGGAAGGCGGGTTTGGTCTTCCCTGGGAGCTTCGGGGCCACTGGGAGAGCTCAAGTACAGGAGGGGGAAACCAGCCTTCCCTGCCCTGGTCACAGGCTTGGGGGTAAATAGCACCCAACGTGTGCCAGCTCACAGGGGCCAACTGCCCATCTGTTTTGAGCTCTGCCTCAGTGAAGTCAGACTGGTAGTGCAGAGTGGACCAAGTGTGAGGACTAGCACCCTGGAGTCAAGAGCATCCCACAGGTGCTGCCTGGGGGCCTCTGGGAAGAGTCGAGTCACAAAGTCAGATCAGGAACAAGTCAGCCAAGGGAACACCAAGTGCCACACACAGGAGCCTAGGGGACTAGGTGGGTCCTAAGGCCTGGGGAGGGAAGGACCTCAGGCAGACTTGGGCCAAGGTGGGCTCAGAGAGAGGTGGCAGGACCAGGCTATGGGCTTGGGAAGCAGGGAGAAATCAGGCTGTCCTGTTTCTGGGCTGCTGTGGGCTTGGAGTGCAGGGCCCAAGGCCATCTCCTCCTGAGGGTGAGGTGAGATCAGGCTGGGAGGGCTTACCTCTCTTCTCTGTGGTGATGACTGTGGCCTCCAGGGGCTCCCCCCATCCCTGCCTCGTCTTGGCAGACAATCTGAAGATGTAGGCAGACTCTGGGGCCAGCTCGGTGGCCGTGAACTGCCGCACTGTGGCACCAACCTCCACGGTGGTGAATGTGTGGGGGCTGCTGCTGGCCAGGCGGTAGGCGATCTGGTACCCTGAAGGTGAGGTGTGGGGAGGGAAGGAGAGAGCTCAGCCAGCCCTTTGTACATATGCTGGGAAACCCGCCCTCCCACCACCTGTAATTGCTTCTGGATTGAAAACCCAAACGCAGACATTTGTTCCTTCCTGGTTTCTGGAGGTGGTCGAGGTGTGCACTGAAAGGGACATGACACCTACAGTGATGAATGGAGTGGCCTCTGAGTGCAATCCCCCCATGAAGTTTGCTTTACTCTTCATCCCTCACCAGAACAAGGTGGGAAAACAGTTTCATCTTTCCTGAGGATGCTGGCACACGGGGAGAGTGCCACAGGAGCCAGGACCCCAGGTTGTTCTTGACAGGAAGGTGGAGCATGCCCTGCCTGTGGCTTTTTTTTTTTGCCCTCTGTGCCCCTCCCATGATGGAGTCCTTCCCCTGCTCTGGCAAAAGAGGGCAGTGCCTGACCTTGGCAGCTTCTTTCTCATTTGCCAACACAGCACAACCTGCAGTGGGCAAGATTATGCTGGTCTCACCTGTTACACTTCCCCTTCCTCTTATCTTCCCACCACCTGTAACCCTCGTGGTTTGCTCAGCAGCCCGGATTTCCTCACCCACTCCCCTGGTGCCGAGATGGGTGGCGCCACTTTAATTCTCCTTCTGTGATTTTTAATCATTTGAGGGAGGGCTGGGCCAGCTCTGGCCATCTCTCCATGTTCCTTGATTATTAAGGGTTCACGGTTGATCAGACATCATTAACGATCAAACCTCTCCAACAGGGCAACCCAGACCCAGCCTGGGTCTGGGCACTGCCTCCTCTGGGCTCTCAGCGTGTGGTCCAGCCACTGTGCCCCCATGCTGATTAAAAACAGAGCAGATAGGGTGCTGGGTGTCCAGAAAACTAATGACAGCCCATGGTTCATGGTAAACAAGGGGGGCACAGAGGGGCATATCAAGCCAGCAGAACTGAATGGGTCCTTGGTTGCTTGACTGGCATGGGCCGTCTGTGGGTGGGCAGCACTGCAGGGTGCGGCAGGCCTTGCCTCCTGACAGGCGGGCTCATGGTACACAGTGTGCATGCCCCCAGCCTCTGTGCTGGACGCAGTGCCTCCTCTGCCTTTGTTCTTCCTGCTTGCAGGTCCTTGAGGCCAGGGTGACTGCGCTAGCTGGCACCTCCCCAGCTCTGCACATTGCTGTTTCTCTGACTGTGTAAGGTGTCTGGCCCAGCTGGCCATACGGAGGTCAGGAGAATGAGTATGTGGAGATCAGACTGAGTGGGGACCCTGACTTAGCTCTAGCCTTTGCCCGTGTCATCATCACACAGACTGGGGATCAGCAAACTCTGCCTTATCCATAATGATGCCACCTGGAGCCCAGGTATTTGTGGGACCCTGAATTGCTGTGTGGCGACCCTGCCTCATGGACTAGGGCTCTTCTCCCTGACATGGGGAACAGGTGTCCTGGGGATTTCCTGGGGTGCCCAAAACTCTGACACGGGTGTTCTGCCCGAAGCCTTCCCCTTCCCATCCCATTTGAAGACAATGGACTGGCAGCCCAGGGAAGGCTGGCAGGCCACTCCTTCCTCCTTAGTCATGCTTAGTCATGGGGTGAGGACCTTGAAGCTTGTGGAGCCAGTCTCAGGCCTTCAGAGACTTGTGGGCACTCAGCATCCTGAAAATGAGGGAGACAGCTGCTGTGGCTGAGCAGGCCACATGCAGGGCCCCTGCTGGGCTCCCAAAGCCCCTCCCACACCCCCAGCCTCACATCAGCCTTAGAGGGTGGCTGGTGAGGAGGCAATGGTACATGAGAGGTTATGGGGTTTGCTCAAGGTCACTGAGAACTGGAGCCCGGGTCTGTCTCACCCTTCCTTAAAAAGAACCTATGCCCATCTCTCAGCAAGGGGACAGGCCCTCAAGGGCCCTGATGATCTAGACCATGCTCCCTGTAGTACTGGATGAGGGGATTTTCCAATAGCAACAGTGCTCCACAAGAAGTGCAGGTATTCTGGAGGCTGAGACTCAGGTTCTGCATATTTCCTACTGTCACTCATGTAACAGTGTCACCCCCTCTGACCCTCAGTCTATTGAGCTGTATGGGGGGACAACAGGAAACACTCACAGGGCTTCTGGGGTTACATAACCTACAACAGACATAGCCTCCTTGTACAGCCATTCTTGGCCTTGATGTGGTCACAAATCAGTAGCTGTCCCTTTGCTCAAGGTGTTCTGGTGGCATCTTATGATGCTCACGGGGTTGTTTTTCCATGAGGGTCCCTGGTCCTGCCAGGCACCAATGCTAACACAGTTCTGCAGAAGCCATAGGCCTTGCAGCTCCAGGTCACAACAGTGACCACCCATCAGAGGCAGCATGGGGACACCAAGCAGGTATGCAAGACATGCTCAAGCTCCCGGCCTGACCCCAAAGGAGCTGGGACAAGTGCTTAGCTTCCCTCACTTCGGCTATAATATAGTAGCAAAGCCCCGACTCTCGGACCTTGGACCTCTTCCTCCTTGAGTCAGCTACATCTGCTCGTGCTCAGCCCTGAGGAGATGCACATCAGGTAACTGTAAGTGGGTCCTCCCCCGGAAGTACGTAGTTTCCAACAGCTTCCTGCTTCCAAGTGCCTGATTCTAGGTCATCTGGCAGGAAGCAGCATATCTGGTTATGGAATCAATATGCATTTTTGAAAACTTCCTGGCTTAAGTTGCCTTTTTAAAAAGGCATTAAAATGTTATAATGTGTTGTTATTACTTTTTAAATTACTTTATATTCACATGGCTCAAAGATTATGTAAAACGCAAAGAAAATAGTGTAAGGCGTTTCTCTGGTGCCTGCCCTCCATACCTCCCTGAGCCTCTCTTCCATGCAAGCATTGCTGGTTTCTTGGGTGTTTTTCTGGTGATAATCTAAGAATACGAGAGCAGAGTGCTTAGGATGACAGCCTCATTCTTTCCTGCACATGAGAGCACATCAGTCATCCAGTCCTGTGCGTGGCTTCTCTCATTAGCATCTCTATACTTGTCATTTGCTTGGATGGATGTGGGTTTTTCCTTCTCATCCTTTTGGATGGTTTATCATTTATTTTTGGTTCTTCCAGTTCTTACCCTCAGATTTACAGGTTATGCCATCTCCTCAGTCGTTGGCTTCTTGAGACAGCATCTGATAACTCGTCACCATGAATGATGATGAAATTAGCCTTGTTCCCCTTCTTTCTACCTCTATCTTTTCTGTCACACAATTTTGGTTCAGTATATTACTGCTTTCCTTTTTCCTTGTATTTGCCTTTATACACTTAAATGCATTTATATCTCTATTATCTGGTAAAGCTCTGAATTGTATCTTTTGAGAGTCACCTACTGCCTGAGAGATATAAACCAGTGTTCTCGCGTTACACTGACCTCCTCAATATGTCCACCTCTGGCTTTCAGAATCACATGATTATTCTCAAGGTGCTGATATTTGGAGAATTTGCACTTACGTTGTGCGATCAGGGGTTGCGGGTGCACAGTGATGACGGCTTTCAGCAGAGGTTTAAGAGGCACACGGGAGGGATCAAAGCTGGAGGAAATGGCCAGCCTCTGCCCTAGGGAAGTGAGGTGTGTACAGGATCTCAGGGGCCTAAGCAGGCCTCATCATGGACCAGGTGTCAGTTAGCAAAATGAGTTACACAAGGAACTTCTACCTGACCATTTGAGCACAATCAGGCTGTGGCTGGTACAAGAAGCAACTGACCAAGACCCAATGCCATTGTCCCATGCATATATTAAGGAAACCAAAGAAAAGCATTTTGCAATAAATAAACAAAATTTTACAACCAAGCAAGAAGTCTACACTGGCAGACATAACATGACCAATAAGACCATGATCAAATATAGTGTTTTAGAATCATCAAGAATATTGTGCAAGCTGGGCATGATGGGCATGTCTGTAATTCTAGTCACTTGGGAGGCTGAGGCAGAAGGATCATAAGATCAAGGCCAGCCTCAGCAACTTAGAAGACAGAGTTTGTCTTGAGAAAAAAACAAAAAAAGGCTATGGATACAGCTCTGGGATAAAGTGCCCCAGGTTCTATCCCCAGTACCACCATCAAAAACAAGCATACAATAAAAACAAAAATGAAACCAAACCCCTGATTAGTATGAATTCAGGTACTTGAATGTTGTTCCTGGGGATAGATATAAATCATTTCTAGAGAAGCACAAATTAAGTCTGTAACAACAACAGATGAGTGCTGTACATCTGTGGTCTATTTCCTGTGCCCTGCACACTGAAGACCAGGGAAGGATCACCTTGCTGGTTCTGCCCAGGTCTAACTGAGCAAATTTCTCCTCAGTGTGCAAAAAGCCTGCGTTTTCCTAAGACAGAGAAGTGGAACTGACCTGGTGCTGCTGGCTCTTCAGGCTCCTGCCCATTGCAGAGGCCTGGCCCTGCCACACCTCCCACTGTCGATCACCCCGTGGCTTCCCAGGTCCGCCCCCACCTGCCAGTGCACCCCTCGAACCGCCAATGGGTGTTAGCTCCCTTTCTGTTATTTTGCATTTTGCAGAGTTGTGTGTGATCAAGTCTCCTCTCTAAAACCCAAATTGCCTTTCAACTAAGAAGTTTGAATTAATGAGGTATTATTTATTTTTAGGACCAGGACATGAGTACAGATGTGCTTTTGTCATAGTTTAATCTTCATTATTTTATCACAGTTTATCTCTACTTAGATTCTTCTGTTGCTAGAGGTACTAATCCTGCGATGAATTGAAGATTGTGTTCAAAGGCTAATCTTTGTGAATCACAGAATTGGGGGATTAAGTGGAAACTAGTCTCTCCTTGCCAAGCCAGAACCTCCTTCCCATCAAAGGCTCCACCCTAACTTTCCATCCTTCCCAGGGTAACCTGTGACCTCAGATCACAGGAATGGGAGAGAAGGCTTTAGCGCTGTACAACAGGGTAAAGTATTTATCGACCAGTTCCCAGTGATCACTGGCTCAGGACTGCAGGGTGGGATGGGGGAGGACCCCTAAATGTCTGACC